GATGCTTCTTTTTACAAATGTAAAATATTTGTTAATTGTTTTCATTTTCTTATATATATGCAAATTTAATCATATTTAGTAATGTATAATTATTCTTATAATTAAAATATCATAAAAGGTCAAAAAATTAAATAAATAATAATTGTATATAATTAATAATATTAATTTCAAATTATATTAGTATATAATTTTTTTCCAATTTATTAAATAATTGGATTTTTTTTTATCTGGATATCTATTTCGGTCAAGTAGCTTGACCGAAATAGATAGAAAAATTCCCGCCCCCACCGGCTTCAAATTTCCCTCCACCGACAGAAAATTTGGTTTTTTTTAAATCTAAGAACATCTTTCGGTGAAGTTAAATGACCGAAAAACATTGAAAGTTTTTCGGTTTCCCTCCCATTTGGAAATATGGTTCGGTCAAGTTACTTGACCGAAAAATACAGTGAATTTTCGCAAAATCCACCGTATGTTTCGGTCAGTACAATTAACCGAATAGTTACTGGATTTCCCAAATTCTACAATACAATTCGATCAATTAAATTGACCGAAATAATTAGTGAATTTGAGCAAAATCTGCAATATATTTTGGTCAAAGAAAATGACCGAAATATGAAGGGAATTTTCATTAAATTTTTCGCATGTTTTTCGATCAAGAAACTTGACCGAAATAGTTAACTTAAATACCAAAAATAACCCTCTCTCTAGTTCGGTAAAGTTGCTTGTCCGAATGTAATATTTAATAACTGACTTTTTTAAGGATTGTTTTGATCAATTATATTAACCGAATTGATGAAATATTTCGGTCAAGCTAAAATTTTCTCCAAAATACTATTTCGTACAGAGGGTATTCGGGCCAACAATTCAGTTAATAAGCTAGACCAAAATATTGTTTATTCAGTCATAATGTGGTCTTTTTTGGTCATTATGCTTGACTGAAAAAGAGTGAAATTCTAGTAGTGAAATGATCTAGTTAGAGAAGCAACACAAACATAAAAACCTTGACTTGGAATTGTAGTAAGGCATTTGCAATTTGAACTACCACAATCAGAGTTAGAATGGCATGGCCCACTCACAATTCTTGCTTCTGTTATAGTGTGTAGACCTATAATAAAATTTTATTAATAGAAAACTCACAAATATCATAATACTTTTTAAAAAATGTGTTGAAAGAAAAAATTGCATAACAAGAAAGAAGTTACTTACCAAGCAAAATTATCATGAGTGTAGCTAAGAAAACTAATTTGAATGAAAGGTTTTTTTTTTTTTTTTTTTTGAAGTTGGTGTTATTGTATTTCTTTTTTATGCAAGAAATGATATGATGAATACCTCTAGTCTTCAAACCTACAAATTTATAAAGTTAACCATTTGAACAAATTAGTTAAGGAATTTTGCTAATTAGGTAAGTAAATATTCTATTATTTCTTACCATAGCTATTTCTAATATAATCTAAAACTAAATCTAATTTTAATCTATCTAAATCTAAATCTAATATAAATCTATATCTATATTTATATCTATATATTATATAAAATGCTACCCCATACATTTAATAGGGTATGCAATTAACTAATTCAAAAAAGAGCGCATGAAATTAAAATGTAAATGATAAAAATATATGAAAATTGTATCAATAATGAAAGTCTTAGATGAAGAGACAAATAAATGAAAATTGTAAATGATAAAAATAATTGATGAATGGATGTGATAGATGCAGAAGTAACATTAGCTTAACATGAAAGGTCAAAGGTCTAAGTATTCAAGAACTCCTAAGTGAAGAAAATGAAAAGTTAATGTCTAAATATTCATATAAATCAGACTAAAAGCATTTAACTTCAATATTTAAAATGAAACTTATAAAGTGGACACCATTTTTTTGTAATTAATAAAATAATGAGACATTTACGTGCTTGATCAACCACATTAAAAAAGATGTTTCAAACATCTAATCTAAGAGAAGATAGCACCCCTATGATTAAAATTAGAAATTGATTGAAGAAAGTGAACAAATTTTTACAACTTGAATATGCTAGTGCTATTGAATATCTTATAAATCCAACACTAGATATGATACAACTTTTGCTATATGCACAATGTTAAGATGTTAGAAATAATTCATGCGAAGAGTATTGGAATTCTTGAATGATTTGTTGGTTATCTTAAAATAACCATAGAATAAGGTTTATTTCACATAGATTATCTAACAATTTTAAAAGGTATACTTGATAATGTATATATATAACAGTCCGTATTATTTGTATAGAATATAAAGTGTACTTAAGACATTCCACAATGTACACACTTATATATATACTGAATTCTATGCAATGAAACCCTAAGAAGCATTACTTGTTTCATAGTATTAGAGCCGGCATCCAACACCAAACTTTTCTTCTAATTTTCTCGTTCTTCTTTGTCTTCTTCGAAAGTCTAATGTCTTTTTATCTGGATTCTTCTTCTCCTTTTATCATTTCTATTTCAACCACTACTTAAAATCCCATAACTACCCCTGTTTCCTCTAATCTTCCAATCTTCCCTGTTTCCTTCGCCGTAATGAATCTAGTGGCATCTAATATTTTCTCTCATCTAGTTTTCCAAGTCTTGAATATTAAGAACTTTGTTTCTGAGACTCAGAATCATCAAAACTTCATTATTTGGTGAGAACTAATGGTTCTGGTATTGAAAAGCAAGGCTGTCTATGGCCATGTTGATGGTACAAACCCTTATCCTCCTTCTAGCAGTCTCATATTTGAAGCCTGGATGCAAGTAGATTATCAAATCTTGTCATGGATTCAAGCCACCATCTCAGTTGAAGTCTTGGAGATGATTATCCAACCTGGAAAATCCCTATCCATTAGAAAAGCCTGGAGTCATACTGGCTACCAAAATCAACTAGAAGCACAAACACCATTTCTTCAATAGGAATATTCTTTACTCCACAAACAATGAGGACAATCAATGATGAGTTATCTACAATATGTTGAGAGTATAATTGATAAGTTGCATTGAGTTGGACATCCCAAATTGGATTGTGACATTGTTTTTCAGGTTCTTGCGAGTCTCGATTCTGATTACAGTGTAGCTAAGAGGACAATTCCCCAAAGAAATCCTTTTCCATCCTTTTTAGAACTGCAATCCTTATTGTTGATTGAGGAGGCTAGTGTTTTGAGAGAAAAACAGCAAGCTGATTCCACCCAAATCTCTCTAAGTAATTCTCAATTGCTATATGCTTGTGGAATCCCGCAAATGTCTAATAATCCTATACACTCTAGTACTCCTCCCTCACATATTTATTATGTTAATAATCAATCTAGGGGAAGACAATGGTTTGGTAGGCATAACAAAAAAGGTCGTGGAAACTTTAGGCGGAATAGAAGTCGTTCAGGCTATCCACAACAGAGTGGTTTTGGCCGAGGTTTAGAAAATTCTAGTGGCTATTTTACTGGTAACCATGGGAGTGTCAATTGATCTTTGCCTCCTCTCATTCGTACACTGATAACTCCACCTCCTGTTTCTTGTCAGTGGTGTCAACAGTTAAATAACCAAGCACGTGATTGCCCATTGCTTACTGCTCAACCATCCACAGTATTTAGCTCCACTCATCAATCTTTGGTTGCTTCTGCATATGTCTCTACTTCTGATCTTAATTGGTATATTGATTCAGGTGCGTCCACTCATGTTACCAGTAATCCTCATCATGTACTTCATAAGTCTTCTTGTTTAAGTTGGTAACAGACAATTATTGCTATTAACTATGTAAGGAAACTTTGTCATTGTTACTTCTAATTGTCAGTTTTGTTTAAATAATATTTTAGTTTCTCCTCATATTACCAAGAATCTTGCGTCTATTCGTCAATTTACTCATAATAATAATTGTAGTATTGACTTTGATTCTTCTGGCTTTTCTATTAAAGACATTAAGATAAAGAACTTCCTCTTTCATTGCAATAATCCAGGTGACCTTTATTCTTTGTCTAACTATTC